CAGCGTGTGGGTAGATTTGATAGAAAAAAATGTAGTACCAAATAATAGTTCCGGGGAGCCAATTACAGTAATTTTTATAGCGACGAATGCACATATCAAAACCGAAACTGTATAACTGGCTAATGCTTTGTAGTTTCTTGAAGTAGGCCATACCTAAATGGAAGCTGATTGTATCCATTCCACTATCGAACGAGCACTTAAGAAAAGAGATATCCATGTTCCTGCAGAATACATTAAAGTATGAGATCAGCTAGAAAAAATCCAAAACCATATGGCGTAACTTATCTTAGTTACACGTTCTTTAAAAGCTTTAACACAGTTCAATTCTTTAATAGAATTCGTCCCGGTCGCGGCAAAGGTGCTGCTAAAATAACTGATATACGTACCCTACGGTATACACCAAGTGGCGACATTCATTTCAAACTAAGATTCTCCAACGAATGGGAAGTAATACCGCAAAGGAAATCCCCAGTAGCTGTTTCCTTTCCGTTTTCTCACCTTCCGAATTTGTACGAGAGTAGGCGTACGATTGCTCGCAGAAAGTATGAGATCTCCAGTATATCAAACGATTACTTCCTGAAGATTACCACGCCTACTATGACAATTTACCTCATGATTGAATAACATGTATTATACTTTCTGGCATTATTGAGTTCCTACTTAAATTATCTTATATGTGGACTTTGTAAAATTAATTTGAGAGAGGAATTCTTCACGTATAGTTATATATATATATGTGTTTTATAAACTGCCTATTTTTGTTGCAATAAACGGAAGAATAAATCTGTTGTATTATTTTATATATATGATTATTTTTATCTATGGAATCCTATTCTCATTAACATTTAAACTGAGCTCGTAATCACAAAAAATAAAATAGAAAAAATTTTATTCATACAAAAAACCTGCTAAATCGACTTCAATTTTGAAAATACAAAAACTAAAACCTGCTAAGTTAAAAATTTGCCAATAAAACCATAAAAACGTAATTTTTTCATTCGTTCTGGATTAGGGCCATAGAACGTCTCGCGATTAACAAACTATATGTAGGATTTGCCCCTTAGACTAAGAGTTAAAGATATATTTAGTTTTTTGCCTCTACAGTAAAATATGTTTTTTGGTCGTTAGCAGGTTTACACTCTAAGGCGACGATATACTTTTAGCCGCAGGAGGCTTATAGTTTTTAAGTTATTTGTTGTTAAAGTTTGTAAATTGAACTAACCTATCGCACAATAAACACTATATTTATGTACACACTTCGGCAAAATAGTTGCATTAAAACCCGGGCACAATGAAATGTAAACATATTTTTTACATTTATGATGTATTTTTAGTAAATTAAGTAAGTTTTTATAATTATCCCGCACTTATATATGTATACGCACATTGTGAATACAGAACTGTCGATTCAACCATGGTTTCACACTGACATTAGAAGAGTGCTGCCACATCTAAGAAAATAACAATAAAAGAGAATAGTTTTTATCGTACCCATTTTCCTGCTCAGCGTTGAATTAGTAGTAAAGGAGGGTATGGGGTTAAACACCCCCAATTTATAAAAAAATTACAAGCGCCGTAGGTTTTTTATTAAAAATTTTCATTATTTATCGAAGTATTGATTCTTATGGAAAAAGCGTTTATCGTAGTATTGATTTTTATGGAAAAAGCGCGATTTTTTATTAAAAATTTTCATTATTTATCGAAGTATTGATTTTTATGGAAAAAGCGCCGCAGGCAAACTTTTTTAATAAAAAATCGCGCGATTTTTTGACAATTATATTTTTATATTGACGTATTTTTTTGCTTGCCAACTGCGGAATCACCTACTCCTTCGAACTGCATCAAAAGGTCAATTTTGCCAAAAAACGGATTTAGCAGGTTTACACTCTAAGCCGACGATATATATTTGCAAACAGGAGAACTCCCCCTACCCCCCCCATAGCCACCTTTTTTTGTACGCGGCGGATGCCAAACTAAAATTTTCCCGAATTGTGTGATGGAAACTAACACATTCTCATTTATCTTACTAACACATTTGCAAATTTCGCCATAAGTTGGAGGAAGACAGAAGATCACATGTACACATATATGTAATACTCCTATATTGGCAGTAAGAGCTAATACCGTCCGAAAACACTACAGTACAGATATATCAATAAACACGTACGAAAGAAAAGGAACACATACGTTTATAAATAAACATGTACACAACACATATAAAAAAACGGCACTCAAGTACACAATACATTGATAAAAACGGTACTAGACTGTCTCGCTTTGATTTGATTGAGAAGATAGCTTACTGCCAATATAGAAGTATTACATATATGCATGTACACAAATGTTTACATCACGTTTTTCATATTGCTCTTAAAAAGTTGAGAGAAGACCTTGATTGAGATCTCCATCACCAGTGAGTATCAAATGATCAATCACTATCACTGTTCTTGTAGGGACGTTAGCGTTCCAAACGCACACACATACGTAAGTTTCATTTATTTATTTACTTATAAAATAGTGATTATTCTGCAAGATTCTTATAAGTGAACCTTTTCGCTTACAGGTTCCTATTCGCTTTTGGTTTTGCCTGTCCAAGTGCAGAAGCACCCTTTCGTAAGTGCTTACTTTATGCACATATGTACTTTTTTCTACACAACAACAACAACAACACCAACAACTGGAACAGATACTATTTATATAATCGCCACAACCGCGTAGACTACCCCACTTCAATTTTGATCGAATTTTCTTCAACAACACAACATCAGCCTTCTTATACATATATTTACATACACATTTTTGTACATTTTTTTATTGTAAGGATTTTTTTTATAATTAAGCCATATGAAAAATTAAGAAAATGCTTTATGACATTAAAAACAGTTTGTAAACTAATGTTAAAACTTGTATATGTTAGCAAAAAATTCCAGAAACTCTTTATACTTTAAAATTACAAAAACTAGTGTTATTCCGAGCCTGATTGTTACATACCATAAATAAACACTAATGGCCTAATTCATAAAAAATAAAGTAGGTTTAAAGAGCTTTATAAATTGACGTTTTCATACATTTTTCAATTTATAAACCTTTTATAAAGCTACTTTTTTTATGAATAAGGCCATATGACTTTTCGCTTATGATAAAAATTAATAACTAAATATTAAGACTTCTTGCATAAACAATTTAGTACATTTAAAGTGCTCTTTTCATAAAAATTTTCGATATACATATAAAGCGGTTAAAGTATTCTTTGTTGTTTATGAATTTGAGTGTAAGACTTTTTCTTTAAGTTTAAAGAAAGATTTAGAAATATAAACATTAATGGCCTTATTAATAAAAAAAAAGTAGGTTTAAAGAGCTTTATAAAGTGACGTTTTCATACATTTTCCAATTAATTAAAGCTATTTAAACCTACTTTTATTTTAAGATTTTTGCTTGAATTTAAAAGATTTAATAAAGACAAAACATTTTACCTCTTTAACAAGTTTGTTTTCTTAATGATTTTCGGGAATTTTGCTCTTGAATTAAATATTTAAATAGGCCTTCTATGCCAAAAGCAAGTTGTGCCTTGTGCCACCGACACAAGAAGGCATACGATTCGTGCACGTCCCAAAGGAAGAAATTAAAAAAAAAAATGGATTGAGTCCTGCGGCACCTTTTTGAACCCTGGCGAGAAAATATGTACCCTTCATTTTTCGGCAATGGATTTTGAGGCCGGGTCTAACCGCAAAAGAGCTAGACTGTCCAGTGATGCTGTTCCAATGCCTGTAGAAGCATTATACAATTGGAATGATTCTGAACAACTCAAATTTCCATTTAAGGACGCTTCTACACAGACTGAATAAAAACAAATTACAATTAATAAAAATTGATAGCATTATTCATAAAAAAAACTAGCTTTACAAAAGGTTTATAAACTGAAAAATGTATGAAAATAAACCTACTTTATTTTTTTATGAATACGGCCGTAAGTTTAAGAAAAGTTTATTTTGATTTAGAAATTACTCTGATTGCCGAGTGGCAGCTCTTGAAGAAGAATTGACCAGGCTTAAAGCAATAGTCGTGGGCAATAGTCGTGGAGTTGGAGAACTTCAAGTCAAACGTCAGCTCAATTACTGCAAATTCCATCCTTTGTCCATTTTTTCTACTACCCTTCTACTACTATTTTCAGAAAGAGCGATCACATTCTTCCCCTTTCTCCCTACTTCCAAAATACAAATCTGGATAAAGGAGTGTCAAATATGTCACAATTTACATAACCTTGTATTATTGAATCATGCATACAAAGTATGTTGACAATTTTTTATATGGAGAAAATGAGCAACACCTTCAACAAAAAAAATTCCCAAAAATCAGCGGTAAGTCGGAGCTACTTTCAACCTGCACTTTATTATTCTTGAATTGAATGGGCTACAAATCTGCTTACTGAAAATATTTTTTAAAAAATCGAATTAAAAAGCTCGAAATTTGAACGAAAGTTTATTGATTTTTTTTAAATCATGCACAAAGATTGAAACTTCGATTTATATGCTTTTTGTTAAAGAATTTACTATATATTTATAAATAAATAATTAAAATTAAAAAGGCATTAAAAAAATTAAAAGTGCGTTCAAACCTTGCTGGGCGTGGGCCAACTTTGTTACAATACTTGTATGATAAAGCCTATTTATATAAATAAAGTTTGAATTAGAAAAAAATGTCCGTGAGAAAGCGTGCGGGATTAAAAAAACTGGGCGTCGTGAGCGTGCGTGAACGTGATTGAAAAAAATATAACAGATCGTGAGTGTGCGTGATTTACAAAACCATCAATGTGAGCGTGCGTGAGGGTGAGCAAAATCACTCACGCGCCCATCTCTTGTGTTAACCAGACTTTGAGTAACCAGCGTTTAGTCTATACCCTTCGATGCCCTTATCGACTATTTATTTTGTAAATATATTGTATATATATGTATATAAATATATAATAAACAGATTTGCAGGTTATAATAAATCGCACTATGAACATAACTAATAATGAACTGAATTGCAGGTTTTAATAAATCCCACTATGAACATAACTAATAATGAAAAGCACAAACATCCAGAGGGCTGTATGAGTGTTCGTGGTTACTCGGCTGAAGTGGAGCGCTATCGTTCTGTTTTAATAAATGGAAAAACCTTAGATGGTGTGGAAAGGCAACTGCAACTAAGTGGGTGGAACGCAAGAATTGCCCAACATGAAATGGATCATTTAGATGGAAAATTGTATATTGACATAATGGATCGTTCGACTTTTACATGTACATGTTGGGAAACAGTAAACGCTAAAAGCGGGCGTGTAGAAATACCATTTTATAAATAGCTACTAAAATTGTTTAAACGAATGTGTATATTAATATGGATGTAGATTTGCATTTTCGTGCTTTTATTTGCTATAAGTACGGTGACCAGATTTCTGTGAACAAAAATCGGGACATTTCCAAACCATCGAATCCGAACACCCAATTTTATTTTTAGAATAAAAAGACAACATCGCTTGATATACATAATTTTATTTAAGACAAAACAAAGACCAAAAAATCTGCATTCCAACGACAGCCGGTTCTACGTACCGGAATGACTCGGGTTTTACCCGACCAAGGGCTGTTGTTTCGGCGATCTAACCCCGTTTAGGTCGGCAAAATATCTCAGAAGTTGTTCGTGCATAGGGCTACATTCGCTACGTTTTCTTCTATTCAGGGCAGGCATCTAGTCAAATCCAGGGCCAGAAACCTACACCTGCTGTGTATGTCAGAGACGACTACACCACAACTCCACCTCTGTCAAGTGCAATGCTTGCGAGGGGTGGAGTCACCTCAGAATCTGCTCAGGACTACGGACACATCGGCAGTGGAGCTCGTCTTTTGTGGCCCCCACGGCTAACCCCAGTCCACCTGAGCAGTCCCACACAAACACCACAGCACAACAACATAACACAATAGACCACACCACAACGGCTACAGACCACAGAACACACACAACCGCACCACCTCCTACAATCTGCACGGTATGTCAGACCAGGATATTCCGTAATGTAACATCAGTCAAGTACAACACCTGCCTTGGCTGGTGCCACTTTAGGGCATGCTCAGGTCTGCGCACCACGCGAGATTGGACGAGGAGCTTTGAGGGCCCGTGTTGCGCTGCTCGGTCGCAGACCTCAACTGCGACGCCTCCCGCCACCACCACAGGGCGGCAACCACCTCAGCAGCGCACACAGCCAACTGCGGCACGACACACACCCCGCATCACCACACGTCTCCCGACCCACATGAAGCTCCTTCAATTTAACTGTAACGGGCTTCAGAGCAAGATTGAGGAGATAACGGTCTTCATGGGAAGGCATGGCATATTGATAGCTGCGGTCCAAGAGATGAAGTTGCACAGCAATTCGACACTGTTGAATTGTGCCGGGTACAACATGCACCGTCGAGATCGCGAGCGGGATAATGGTGGTTGCTTAGCGTTCATCACGCACCACACCGTGCAGTATCGTCTTATCGAAGCAGACATCGACC